TTGGGTCAAACTTTAAACGAAGTCATTTTCTTCCTAAAAGCCTCTCTTTCTCTCCCTAAAATAGGTAGAAAGCGAAACTTCAATAATCTGACCTTCGATTCGACTTCCTCGAGCCCGACAGCATCTGATCAAACTTTACAATGAAAACTATTTTTTTCACTAAAAAAGTCTCCCTCTCTCTCTCTCTCCTCAATAGAAGGACAAAGCAAAACTTCAAAAAATTGACAATGGCAACGTGTTCCCCGACTACGATTACATTCCGTCGACTCTTATAAAAAACTATTCTTTTTCTAGAAAAATCTCTTTCTGTCCTAAAAAAAACAAAAAAGGACAATTTAAAAAAACTAACAACGTCATCGTGTTCCGCGATCCGATTACCGTCGGTGAAACCTATCACTACAGATATTGTTTGCGGTTTGTTAAGTTTATGCATCTGTTTTCCTATTGGACGAACGAACGAACGAACTTACGAAAGAACGCATTTAACTCGTTTTTTCGTAATACCCTCCTTTCAGTAGAGGGAATATTTTACGTATCTAATATTGGCGAATATTTGAACATTGAAAACAATCAATTGGATGTTGTACAGATGGTATGTTGATGATCTAAGAATTATAATTGTTTACGAACGATACGTAATTGTGTTCAAATGTCATCAACATCAGCTTGTTATAACCGGAATGGAGCAAATCTGATTAAAATTAAGGATGAATGAAGAGATTTGAGAAGAAGAGACATGAAACGTACATATATTACAAAGGAACGCGCGTCGATGGATCGCACTGCCGGCTGGAAAAATAGCCGCTCTGTAGTACGTTCACTGATGTTCTGTAACACTGCCGTTTGCTTAGTACTGCAACAGCATCAGTACTACATCCAGTTGACAGCGTCATGTCTTTCAACTCGTAGTCTCTCACTCATTCATTCTTTCTCTCAGTATTCATTACCGTCCGTTGCTATTGAATTAAATTTGTGAATGATGGTTCATGATGTTGATTTTTTCACAAATCATTTGTACCCATATTCTGCAAGGATTCAACAGTCGAGGTCGAGATGTAATGACCAAGGTCTGTCAGAGGCGCCATGTAACGATAAATATGGCCCTTGCTGATTGATATATAAGACAAACTGGATAGAGATGGAGTAGCTTAGTGCCACTCTAGGCAATGATGTTTATTTGTTTCTTCACATATCCCGAGTGTAACAACTTCATACATAACACACGTATATATGTTGTAGGCAAAATTGGAATTCAGGCAAATTCGGAATTTGCCTAGTCAAAATTAGAATTCTGATTCTGCCTAGGCAAAATCAAGATTCTAATTTTGACCGGATTTTTTTTCAGGCAGAATTGGAATTCTAATTCTGCCCGGGCAAAATTAGAATCGGGCTAGAGATAAATTCTTAATAAGAAAATAATCAAAATTTAAGTGTTATAACTATATTTTATTCAACA